ATAACTGACGTTTCACCGTTGCTGGGTACTTTCTCTATCAAGCTCAGTTTTCACTTCCCAAAATCGGTGCTGTGGTGGTGGAGTTTTTTTCTTTCTTTTTTTTTGCTTATTTTCCTGACTTCTCTGCTTCTCCTTATGCATTTGTTAAGAACTTTACTTAAAAAAAACCCAACAAAACCCAAAAAAACCCACCCTGACCAATTTAGTCTGTCTTTGGAGGAACTTGATTCTCACATTGTGCTTGGAAACTGTAAAAAGGATGTGTGGATTCATTGCTTTGTTCCGAGCGTCTGTCTTTACACCTGAAAAAATGCCATATAAGAAGTTTGGAGCATTCCATCCTCCTAGTTGCTCTCACAGGTATTTACTAATAAAAGTAAATTGGACGTGGACACAAAATTGGTGGCCTAGGAACCTGTGTGAACTGGGGAACTTGCAGTTCTGCTGCTAGGCTTACTGCAAATCGTGGGAGTCTACTCGTAGGTGGTACCCCGGTACAGGCGAAGACGCTGCGTTTGAGGTGATGAAGTTCGTTGCGCGTTATTTCTTAACGAGCGCGTTCTGTATCGGCAGTTGGAAGGGAATATCTAGGGATTTGTGCCGCTCTGGGCTAGGGAACTCCTCAACGTTTATTAAAGGGCACGTGTTCATTGCTTGTTTAGGTTTATTTAAAGTATCCCAGGGATACTTCTCCTGTATATTTGGAAACTTTTGCTGGTTTCTGCTCATGAGACACCTGTTCAAAAACCCCTTAACGTGCATTGGATGCTGTTTTTATGCCCATCCTGCCCACAGTGTGAGAAGGCACAATCTTGACTTCCCCTTTACGTGCTCAACTTTTGCATGTAGCATGTTTTCTCGGCACTGCATGGTAGTGTGGCAACTCACTGCTTAGCCAGGTTGCCTTTGGACCTGACCTTCTTCACAGCCGTGTTGGGGGCTGCCAGGAGGTGTAGGAGCGTTGCATCGCAGCGCTCAGCTGGATGGGAGCTGGAGAGGTACGGTGGTAGTTGGGAATATTCATAAAGGTTTCTGCTCCCAACCCTATTTTAGGCTAATAACTTCAACCTTTTTAAAAAAAAAAAATAATCATAGAATCATAGAATGCTTTGGGTTGGAAGGGACCTTGAGAGATCATCACTCTTTCTGTTATAATAGCAGCATGAAATATTTTTTATGCTGGTACATTCTCCCAGGGTTTATTTTTAAAAGCTTTTATTTGCATGGGAAAGTGTATCCGTTGGCAATATCCCTTATTCCTGCACGAGTTGTTCCAAGTGTCAATGTAACTGTTAGGTATTGCGTACGTCTGTGAGAAATACTAAACCAAAAATGAAGATATGAGCAAATTCAGGAAGATGAAGGTAAGAGGGAGAGTTCTTTTGTTTGTTTTCTTACTGTATGTCATAATTCGCTAATCATTGATCACCACCTCTTCTTAAGCATTCTTATTAGCGGGAATGAAGTGGTAGCACAAGCTGCTTCTTCATACATGTTAGTATCCCTGCTCATTAAGATGGTTTTGGGTTTTTTTCTTTTTTTAAACTGTTAGCAAAGGATAAAAAGCCTTGGTAAACCTTATTTGCCATTGGATTTGAAAGACTTTGCGGTTGGTAGTAAGAGTGCCTAAACTTGCGCTGCTCCGCTGCGGCCGAAGTCGCTTCGCTGAGGCTGCGAGGGGTTTCTTGCTCCAGTGCTAAACTGGGAAAATCGGCCCAAACCGAGTCCCGTGCTGCCGCTGGACTGTCTCCTGTAGTCAGACCGGTTAAAAACACTGCTGCTGTGTCAGCGAAGCAGAGAAGAGAGTAACTTTGAAAAACCTGATGGTTACACTAACGGATGGGATTTTCGTGATTAATATATTAGTGATGATAAGAACTCCAGTTCCTTTGTAAAGAACTTGCTTGCGGGATATTCAGTTCCATAATACTAATCTTCCTGGGAATCGAGTTGGAATGAGGTAATCGTTTTATGAAGACTTACAAGTCTTGTTTTCTGAACTTGGTACAAATCACTTACAGCCTTTAATATTTTTCCATAATTAGCAAAAAAGTATTGAGTTTGTCCTAGATGTACCATGGTAAGGAGCATGGAAACTACCAAGTTGCAGGGCTTTGTGATTTCATTTATTTTATTTTTGTGTGTGTTAAGGGTTTTTTCCCCACTGTTGTTTGGTGGAAATTCCAGACAAGTGGGGAAAACTGTACAGTGTGAAAGAAGAAATGAAATGTATGCAAACCGCAGTTAGATGCATGAAGAAATGAACAAAAATAGGAAGGAAAGTGCTAATTAAATGTGTGCTTTTGCCTCTAAATCTGTACAAATCCCATAGTGCCTTTGTGCCAATACGAATTCATGCAATTCTTGCAAGCATTTCTCGCTAGAAAGAGGATAGGATTTTTGCCTGTAGGGATATTATAGCAGAAAATATTTGTGACTCCACTGGATGTTTGTCAGCGTTACATGAATCGCTTGCTAAGGGTCAAAAAAAAAAAAAAAAAAAAAGCCTTAATCCTTTGCCATGAAGTGGGTAGCAATTGTCCAGATAGAGCCAGCAGAGTGGTGTGAGGTTTCTTTTACCTTTCTGTGAAAGGTAGCCCGGGAGATACGTGAGGGGGGGTGCTGACTGCTTGGACTGCGCTGCGTTTTCCTATGTTCATTTAAAAAAAAAGAAAAAATTAAAAAATCGAAGCAGTGAGAAAGCAAAGCCTGTTCTGCTGTGTATAAGCCTCACTACCTGTAGGCAACGGCTCTCATAGTAGGTTGGAGGTCTTGGGTGTGTTTTGGATACAGAGCTGAGCAAAGAAAGAGGCTTAGAGGAGTAGAGAGCTTAAATAATTGCAGGCTACGTGGTGCGCGTAGGGAGGGGTTTGAAGCGACAAAATCCAAGCGAGAAAGATCACGTGAAAGATCAAGTGAAACCTGGCAATTGTCTCTGTCCCCGTTACCAAGCTAATGTATTTGGTTATGAGATGTTCTTCGCTGTTTACGCTTCAGATAAAGGAAAAAACCCAAACCCTTGGTGTTAGACCATTCAGTGACGGTGTCTGGCTTCAATCTCAGTTTGCAGGTGGGGATTCTAGGATGGTCAGAATCTGGTTCTGATATTTGCACGCGATGGAAACTGCTGTTAAATAAATCATTGCACGCGCAGGTGGATTCTCATCTGATTCATTTGCAGAAATGCTAGAAATATAGCTAGAAAATACTAGCCGTATTAGCTTGTTTATGTAGTGTTGTTACGCAAAGCATTTTCTACAAATACCAAATTTCTCACTCACACTAACATCTCTGTTTTAAGTCCTAAAAAAAAAAAAAAAGGGAAAGGAGTGACCCATGAGTCACGGAGTCCAGTTTGTAGCACTCCAAGGTAAGAGTGCAGTAGGGTCCAGGAAAGCATCAGACCCGTCAGTCCACCACTGCACTGAGCTACAAAAAGTCTCCTAAACCTACAGAAAGCTGTAACACCTGTAATAAAAGACCACAAGCTGAAAGTGTTGCACGTGGGAGGAGCATCGCCAGGGCTTTGTTATTGCAATAGCGGGGAATTTCTCAAGCGAAACTCCCTGTTGCTCCTAGCAAGGAGAGGTAGGTGAACCTGATCATGCTTGTCCCTCCCTGACAAGGAGAGGAGAAATCCCTGCTGAATCTAGAGCAGTCAATCGCTTCGACCGGGGTGCACAGGCAGGACCCAAGGAGTGGTGGTTTTCTGCTGGACTCAGTATTGCAGTAATGCTTAGCCGTAGGGGAAGAAGTGAACTTCTGGTTTATGAAGAAAACTGATGGCTAAAAATCAGCTATGTGAATAAAACGGTTTCAAAGGATGACAAGACTGTTGGTGAGTGGTACTGCAGTGCAGGAAGCTTTTGGGGATCAGTGGAATTGTTAGTTGTACTGGTATTTAGAATTCTTTTTTTTTCTTCTTCTTTAAACGCAGTGACTGTGCCTCTGCTGTTTGCTGGCCAGCGCTGGCTCCTACGGCGGGAGGAGGCTGGTGATAGCTTTTCCGTGGGAGGGAGGAGGTCCTAGTAGTATGTGTACTTCGCTCAGGACTTTGGCACAGTTGGCCCGTAAAGGGGAGCAGAGCCTTTCTTGCGCTTCGGCTGTTCAACCGATCGCAAATTAGCTCCCCTCTCTGCTGGGCAGAGCAGGCACGTAAGTAGGGAGCCGAAAATCCCACCGGGTTCAGACCCTCCGCGGCTTTGTCTGGCTTTGCTTTCTGGGTTTGGAACCAGGGAATTAGTGGGCACGCTGAAACAAGTTTTCCTTGTCCTGCCTGCTCCTCTCCCCGGATACCTCCCTCCTCCCTGTGCCTGTCAGCCATCTGCAGGCTCCCGGCAAGGAGATAGAGGTGTTTTCCTCATTTTTGCCTTACTGTATTTTGCCTTACTGAATCATCCTCAGAACGGCGATGTAAAACCCGTGACCCGTGTCCAGGCTCAGCTGGATCAGCTCTGCAAGATTTTTCATTTGGAGTGACGGTCGTAACGGAGTTAAAGCTCTGTTTAACCTTATTTAAATGTCCTCAGCGTGTCCTGTTCCTGAAATGTGTTTGCTTTTCACATGTGGCTGTGTTTCCCTCTTGGGGGGTTCTTTGGGGGCTGGGTAGGAGGCAATCGAAGCAAATGCTGACGTTGGTTAAATACCAAAGGTTTACTGCTTTGCTCTTACAAACAAAATAATGCTTTTATTGCTTTTTAGGATGTGTTTTACAGAAGCGTTGCTCGTCGTAATGCAGAACGAAACAAAGCTTCCAAAGCTTTGCCGAAGCCTACCTTAATTTGACTCCCCAGGAAAAAAAAACGCTTTGCTGTATTGCTTTGTGCAGACTAATAAACCCTTTTGACTTGCAAATCTCTTCCCACTATGAATTAAGTCTTGTATTATGCAAATCTCCCTTTCAGTTATCCTTTTCTTACACCTTGATTTTGAATCTTTCCTTTAGACCATGGCTTGCATGACGTTTTCTTTCTTTTCCTTTCTTTTTGCTGTTTGCAAAGACTCTTGGGAGGATTTGACAGATGTGGTGGAGCAATTGCGCGATGATACTGAAGGTGCGTGCCACACCAACATCTTTCAGCTATTATTTCCACTAATGATTGGCATTTGACTTCTGATTTTGAGCCCGAGTGCAAAATAGAGTTTTCCTTTCCAGCGTGAATAGCTGTGGCTTTCCCAACATGCTTGTCTGGTTGAACCAGAACATGCTGTACTAGTTGCACTCCGTGTGGATGTTTGGTTTCTGCTGTTAGCGTGTTAAAGAAAACGCCTTTGATCACTCGAGTGTATGCATTGCTCTTGCAATTGTATTAATTTACATTTAAAATGGCTATTGGGAAGGATTTTCTTCTCAATTTTATCAGCCCCTTCGTGGGTTCCGTGTGATCAGTTTTGGTTTCTACGTTCTGAACTGATCTCTCTATGGAAAATATGTGCATACAATGTTGCTTCAAAAAATGGCTTTAAAAATTTTCGGCTATTTTTACTTAGTAGAGGTAGAAAAAGTGAATCGACAAGGGGCTAGTTTACTTATATTAAATGCATTCCGAGACAATTATTTTCCTGAGCCCGATACGAACGCAGCTTAAAAGGTTGCAGCAATATGTGGAAGCTAAATTTTAAAAACGATTTCAGAAATCACCCCGAAGCTTCAGATTTTCTGAAGTATTTCTGTTTATCAACTCGAGATTTTGCACAAGTGACTCTAAAACTTGCATTGCAAATTTTGATTAACTCTTGTGAAGTACTAAATGAGAATTTTTTTTTTTTGTAGTGACTCTTACTTGATTCTTAAAAATGATGCAAGCGTGAAATACTTGAATCCCCAATTCAGCATGCACTCAAGTAAATTTGTAATTTGTTGACTAAATGCAACTGTTCATGCTTGGGATGAAAGGGTTTGCCGCACAAAAGGCTAATACACCTTTTGGAGGCAAGGGAATTTTCCTTTTCTGGCTGAGAAGTTGAAGCGCTCGTCATTAGGAAGAATATAGATTTCAGCAGAGAAGGATGGTTGGGAGTATTTATACAGGGCAAATTCTTTTAAAATGGCAATCTCAAATTAGAAGCTAAAGCCAGGGCTCTTGGTATCTAGAAGACTTCTGAGCCTGTCCCGTTAGTCTCACACTGATAATCCCAAAGGACGAAGGTCAGCAGATGCGTTTCAGCTCTTCTTGCCAATTTGTGCATTGAGTGTTTTCGAAGGTGTTGCGGGTTGCAGATCCCATGGTTTTCATACCAGTGTTTTACTCAGTTTTGGTCTACTTCTCACTGGTAGGATGTTAACCCAAAACTGCATTTGTTTCTTTGTAGCACAGATAAGCAATTTAAACGTGAAACTCGGTAAAGCAAAACGGTGAAATTAAGCGAAGCACTTTTATGTTATGGACCCAGGGTTATAAATAGAGGGTAGAGCATGAGCAACACTGTGAAGGATACATCTGTCTTCCAATATGTCGTTGCTATTGTCATTAGAATCATAACTGATTAGTTCAGGACGGCAAAGTAACGCAGCTAGGTTTGGGACTCACAAAAAACCTTCCAGTGCAGATAGTTTTAAGCATGTTTCTGGCAGAAGAAAAAAGCAAAATCAACCATGATATAGCAAAACTTACTTTTATGTATATTTGGAGAGTCAGATGGTATGAATCTTTTGAAAGAGGATATGTTGTGCACAAAAATGAGTTTAGATGCATTAACTCCACGGACCGCTTGCTGGTCATCTGCGAATGGTGCCTTTCTCAGCTGTTGGGCTTGGTTACGTGCCGGGGCTTCTGCTTGGTGGCCTCGTAAACGAGGGAGATGTTCTCCCTCCTGGCACAAGAGCTAATTCTGCTTCCCCAGCAGCTCCAGCAGCGGGTATAGCCAATGTAGTCTTTGGCGGGAGGAAGAAAAGGGTTTGAGACTTTTTTCCCATTAAACACTGTACAGATTTTTTGCATTGATTTTGTCGGGGTGGGATGCATTTGAAATGGGCGTCTTGCCTGTTTTCACTTGTATCTTTATTTCCCATGACCACCACTCTGTTCTGGTTTTTTGGAACTCTTACATGCCTAGATGTGTGTGGGGAAACTGTCCTCCTTGGCAGTTGATAGAGACCGATGGGTGCTTGATGTGGAGTGTGCTTTCCCCCTCCAAAGTCAACATTAAGGACATAATAGCAAGAACAAATGAAGCAATGTTTTAAATTCTCTGTGAAAATGTTTCCTCTCGTGGGAAATCAGATTTCATTTTGGTGAGATGGTGTTAGTTCAGCTGCGTGCCAGTTGATCCACAGTCCCGCAGAGTAGACGGGTTGAATTTTGAATATAGAAGCAAAAAATGAGTAGAATTTCTGCAGAAACAGACATGCCTCTGCTTTTCACTTGTGAATCCCCATTTTTATTTTCATCGCTTACCTTTAAGGGAGTGTTTGCATGATACGCAAAGTGTGGATCACCTCATCCTTGAGAATGGTAGTCAGGGGCTTGCGTTGCTGGAAGGCAGATGAGGCATTTGGATGTAAGGGAATGTCAGGAAAGCTTCAACTGAAGCTTGAAAAATACGTAATGGTGTTGAATTCCCTATTTCTTTTTGCAGCATTAAAATAGCCTTAGTTGGCTTTAGCTTATTTGTTCATCATGAATGGAGGAGTCTGGATCACAAGAGCAAATAGCTCGGATGGCAGATCATTGCAGCAGATTGTGCACGGGCGGGAATTTTAGGGAGGCCGGCCCAGGACCCGAGGCTGCTAGGGGAGAACTAAATTAATTATTCGGAGAAAAATGCACATTGTGTTGCTGCTTTTTGGCTCTCGGTCGATAATTTGTGGAGAGAGAGCGTCAGCCCAGAGGAATTTTCTCACCTTCTGCATGGTGCGGTGTGGTGGAACAGAGGCTAAGGAAAAGACAGTTAAAATGATGAAAGTCCTTAATTTATCTAGGGATTTGCTTTCCACGTTTATTTGAAATTATACATGTGTTCATGATTTCATAGCCTGAGCAGCTGGAACTAATGTTTCTCCTAATGTGAATTTGCTTAACTGAAACTCGGTGCACTGTAGATTGCTGGCTGGTTTGTTTCGAGAGCACATGTTTCACCCTTAACATATCCCAGTTCATCCGAATACGGCATGAACTCTTTGCAAGATGCCGTTTCTATTCCATGCACAGAAGCAGCCTTTCTAAATTTCACACTGCTTTACGTTTGGATCCTTGATTTAAGATGGATTCAGGACATGCAGAACCTTGCTGAAATACTAATTCATTGCCAGATTTGTTCACATCGGCAGTGTTTCATGACTCCATGCATTTGATCAAAGATCTAGCTTTATTTTAGTTTCTTAATTCTTTTAGGGTCATTCAGTATGAGGAGGGATAAAATTGACTGTCACCAGGTGAGAAGTATTTAGACCACGGTTGCAGCTTAACCCTTTGAGGTCCAGTATGGCATTGACTTTTCCCTTGACTTTTGGGTTCCTAGGTACATATGTTACCTTTTAAACAAATTACAGGATTCCTGAGATTCTTGGATGCTTTTGAAAATGTCTTCATGGAAGCTTCTCAGGAACCCTTTGCTCTTCGTGCTGTTAGCATGTGAACGATTGTGGCAGTTTTAACTCTTTAGAAACCTGGGAGTTCAGTGTTTTAAGGAAACAGTCAGATGAGCTGATTATTTTACCCTGGCATTCTGGTGGGACCCAAGTCCAGTTCAGTCATGACCACTTACATCCCATGTGCAAGGTTGCTGGTTAGAAAACACGCCTGTTGTGTAGAAGCTACAATTTTTAAATAGCGGAAGTGTCTTGAGAATTTCAGGTTATTTCAGTTGAAATCCAAACCACGTTGAAAGGCGAAGTTTAAGGGCCAAGACTTTGCTTTGTAAGGTTTACGACATGGCATGCGTAGTAAAACCCAGGTAGAGTTTTTGCGTTAGAGGCAGAAAGAGAAAGTTGGAGAAGGTATTGACTCAAACAGAGAATCTCAATTGCACATCAGGGTCAGACTGTCAAAGCAGAAAGTGTCTGGGTTGACTTAAAGCCAGGCGGGTAGCCTCAATGTGTAAAAATCATCTTTGCTTGCTTACCCTGCTCTTTTATACTCAGTTTTAAAGCTGTATATGTTGCAGCACATATAAAAATGGTATAAATTACTTAGGATTTAATTTCTGGAATAAATCTTCGGGATTTTATCCATTTTTGCACTATGTAACAGTTAATCGGTTTGCAAGATGAGACTCTTAGATAAGCTGCGTATGCAGAGCACCGTCATTCACAACAGACTAATGAAGCAGAAACCTTTAATTAGTTAATGTGATGAAAACATTTTTCACTTCTTTAGACTGTGACTGCGCATTTTACTCTTAAATGAAAGCATAGCCCTTTTTCCTTTTTCCTAAGCGCTTTCATCAGCTCAGATGTTCATTAGCTCTTAAAAGTGTTGAAAGAATCTAGTTGTCTTGAACATGCTTCATACGCCCCTCTATTATGCTTGCTGTTTTGGTTTTTTTTTTTTTTTAATTAGGGTAGTATTGACCCCAGTTGACACACAGCAGTCACAGACCTCTCAGGTTCATGGAAAACCATGCGCCTTGCCCCAAAAAGCATACGGTGCCCTTGACCTCGGTGTAGGTCTGTGTGAGGCAGCAGCTCTCGATAATATTAAGAAAGGTGCATGGTTACCTGTGAGTATATAATGGCGTAGGACCCTAATTAGGACAAGAGGAAATGGGCTCAAGCTGCGCCGGGGGAGGTTTAGATTGGATATTAGGAAAAATTTCTTCACGGAAAGGGTGGTCAAGCATTGGAACAGGCTGCCCAGAGAGGTGGTGGAGTCCCCATCCCTGGAAGCGTTCAAAAAACGGGTAGATGTGGCACTTGGGGACATGGTTTAGTCTAGTCTACCCTTGATTGGTTTAGTGTGGACTTGGTAATGTTAGGTTAATGGTTGGACTGGATGATCTTAAAGGTCTTTTCCAACCTAAACGATTCTATGATTCTAATTCTGATTCTAACTCTGTCCTTGGACTCTACCATAATTCAAATTAGCTAATAACCATAGCCAAAGTAACATTTTCCATGTAGTTGTCTTCTATGGTTTCTTTAATTTTGCATTAGCATTTGATTCGCCACCTAAGCAGAATCGCTTTGCGTGCCTGCCTTGCTACCGATTGGATCAATGAGCGGCTCGGGCAGCGGGCGCGGGGCTGCTCTGTACTGCGGCAATGCTTTGCTGCTTGGGGCACGCCGCTGCGGGACCAGCGGGGAGTTGTCTTGGTTGTAGAATCATAGAATTAGAGAGGAGAGGAGGTCTTTCTGTCTTCCCGTGTCTCGCTGTTCCCCTGGTAGGGGAGAAGAGAAAGAAGCTGTGATTATTAACAAGGTTTAAGTCAAGTCTTAAAAGTTTTAGCTATGTTCAGGAGGCAAACACTCAGCTTTTTGAAAGGGTCTGATCTCGCTACTGAGATCAGTACGCATAGCGTGGGTATGCATAGGAGTTTTTCTTCAAAGCCTGGCCAGGCGAATAATCATGTTCAATCTAGACTTCGAAATGTATTTAAACCATAAAGAAAAAAAGTCTATTTGTTTCTTTTACTGCAGCACCCTACTCTTTTGAGGGTACGTATAAAAACTGCCTCAGATAATTCAAACCTACTAGAGATTCCTGCCGGTTTATCTGTCGTGGTCAGAAGCACGGACGTGCTGTAGGTAGAGTTGTGCTACCAGAAGTATTGAGGGAGGTGGTGGATGGGGTTTTTTTACCAGATAAGCTTGTTATGAGCGGATTTTGAATCATGGCACTGAAGCAAAGCACAATTTTGTGACAGTAGTTCTCTGCGGTAGAAGCAAATGCTGTAGTGACGTTCATACACTCTTAAAGGGAGACTGTGATGGATGCTGTCGGAGACAGTGTTCACTAGTTTTATGCAGAAGTACAGAGAAGAAGATATACAGAAGGGTTTTTCTAATTGCAAGTACAAAAATCAGTTTTTGCAATTGTGTGTAATATTGCGTCTGACTTTTTTGCTGAGTCTGCATTCCTAGTAATGCTGACAGTTAGCTACATGGCAAATCGTAAAATGGATCGCAAATCACAAAACAGGTAATCGGCTTGATGCGCATGCCGAATGTATCAGCTCCAAACAGTAGGAGTTCTGCGAAGGCGATAAAAATCACCCACTAAATTAAATCTTTCTATACAGTCCAATGCTGCTGTGAGAATTGTGTTCCTAAATGAGTCCTTAGAAGTTTACTAAACTATGAAAATAAACTGTGGATGCCTAGTCTCAGCGTTTTTATAAGATGTGAGCCCAGGCTACCAGTGCTCGAAGGCGGTACAGTTAGTAAAACAAAACTCTCAGGGGGGTTTTGATCACTTTGTCCCTCGGCAGTAGACGATCGAGTGGAAACACAGGAACAACTGGACTTGTTTGCCACTTCTCAGAACAAAGCGGCATTTGTCCGTGGCAGCAGATGTGGCCTGGAGCATGACTAGATGGGTGGCTGTTGATTGATGGCAATTGCAGCTGGCATTGATCAGAGCCCCTTTGATGAGGGGTACTGCAGTATTGCCAGTGCTATTGCCCCAGGGCTAGGTCTGAGTGTTTCTGTGAGCCACCAGCAGCATCCCTGATAAAAGCAGCCTGTCCTCTGGCAGACAGGCCACCCAAAACCAAGCAGCAATAACGAGACCTCACCAGCCTGGGTGCCAGCTAGCCCTGGAGCCCTGGGAACCTGACCGTGGCATGCTTCAGGGGCAGATTCAGCAAATGCGCCTTTGTTCCCAGGTTTCACAAATGCTCTCTTTTGATTCCCTTTCATAATTTCTCAGGTCCTTTGATTGAGGATGTTTGTGTCTCCGCTTCAGTAGTTGCTTTTTGTCTCCCAACCCTAAGGTGCCTTTCAGTGTCTCCTGTCTGGCGTAAGGAGTCTCAGTTGCGCGGTAGCAGTTGCTACTCTTCTTGCCTGTTTTGGATACAGCCATGGGTTACTGACATCAAATATGACTCCTGTTGGCTACACGCTGCTGGGCCTACAGTGCTTTTCAACCTGCGGGAGATACCCAGGATTGGGAGTGTGAACGATGTGCTTTGTCATGACTCTGTGGTTCTATAAAGTTTTGGTCCTTGCTCTCTTTTTGGCTGGTGGGTGCTGACAAGATGCTTCACTGCAGTGGCAGTACATTTGAGATGACAAGGTGTTCGCATTCCAGCAGTTGGACTTGTCAGCATCAGCATCGTGATGAAACACGATGATCACTTGCATCATCAGGACAAGTCCTGTAGGAGACTGCAGTAGTCTCAGAAGAATATATCCCTTGGCCTCTTTTGGCTAAGTTGTTGTGTTTTGAATGGCAAGAAAAAAGGTCTTTTCCAACCTAAATGATTCTGTGATTCTATGGAATCGTTCTTCATGGTTGTATTGACAAGAGGATGAGAACTGTTAATGATCCAGACAGCTCAAGTCCACCTGACTAGTAGAGATCTGATGTTTACTCAGAGGCAAACCTGCTGAGTACAAACCCAAACTTAGGAACTGGATCCCCTGAGGATGAGGGTTGCATCTTCCCCGCCTCCTTCACCATGAGAGGTTCCTATGTCTCTCCTTAAAACATCGCTCTCAGCTGTCCGTATGTTGAAGAGACAGAGCCTACAAACAGTCAAAAAGAGCTTCAGAACACCCCGAGGGTTGTGGGCGTCGCTGGGTGGGTCTGTGTGGTGGTACTCCACAGAGCTGGCAGGAACAGCCATTCTTCCCCTGCTTAGATTTCTAGACATTTTAATGGCTTCTTTCATTGAACTTAGCTACGTGCTCCCCTGCATTTTATTTAGAAGTGTATCTTCTTTTGTTCTAGTTGAGGGTTTTCAGTCTCTGATATTTACTCGCTTGTTGAATGCAAGCATGCTTTCTAAGTACGGCAGATAAAATGTGTGCCCTGTGCTTAGACATGTCGTCTTAGATGTCCTCTGGTCATGTTTCTGCTGCTAGGTGTACTAAATTCCCTCGCGAAGGCGGTAAATTGGTTCACAGGTCCATGGCTGTTTGCAGCAGCCCTAGAGTAAATGTGCCTTACAGGGTTATGAACCCCCTTGCGCCAAGGAACTTTTGCTCAAAAATTGGGTGGGAGATTGCAGGCGCAACAGATGCGAACGAAACTCGCAACTGATGCAACATCCTTTTTGTAGGAAGAATTTCTCTCTATTACTGGGTATCTCCAGGCCTAAAGCTTAAGTGCACTTTATTTGTTGTGGCCGTAGGACAATTTCACTCCAGTTATGGGACAGTACTGTTGTAAACGAGTTTGTTTCTTGAGGTGTTGGAAATGCACTGATGGTGTTTGGGAAGAGAGGTGCTCTGTGAAAGGATGGGTGTTGGCGCGGGCACGTTATACAGGTCAGGGAGCGGGAGGCCTGCAGGCAGGGTGTAGAATGGAAGATGGATGTCTATTTGTTTCTTGCAACTAGCAAGCATAAAGGTCTGAATATTTATAATGTGGTAGAGGAAGGGAGTAGTCTTGGAAGCGCT